TGGCCATAGAGACAATATGAAATCAATATAGGCCAAATCAGGATTGTATACTGTCTGTAACGAACCTTATAAGATAATGTGTGAATAATTGTCTCCACTCTGTGGCCCCCTTCAAAGGTGCCAGGACATCCCACGGGGCCATATGGCCCCTGTCGAGAATGGCTGCTGTAGATCAACATCTGTGAGAAATGACTTTGTTCAAAAACATGGTGTCAAGGTGATGGTGAGTTATGAAAGCTCTGCTGTTGTGTTCAGTGTGTGAAAACTCTTACACATTAGTGTGTGAACTCTGCTCCTTCACTTAATGCCGCAGAGAGCATAAAAATACTTTCAGGAGAAGAATGAGCAGGATGTGCAAACCAGATTTAGAATGCCAACCCCCAGTAAAGGGTGTGTGAGGAATATTCAAGTACTCACAAACTCTCCATGATGTTAATATTGATTCTGCTGGTGTGCAACTGCCAAACACCAAATGTAACAAGGAGCAATAGAGGTGATTGACTCATTATCTCCAGTAATGTAATAAATCTGCACAGCGTACATGGAACTAAGAGAGAGGGAAACTCAAAGGCTTAGCCTAGTCCCCTGATGCTTCCATATCCCTCGGCCACGTCCACCCCCATATTGTTTTATGAGTGCATTGTAATGCAGGAAAAGTCCAGATCCGTACCTGATGCCGCAAACAACTTTGCATGTTAATTCTTCTACTTTCTGCCTCATGGCTCACTTGAGAATTCAGCCTCACTTGGAACTGAATCTGAAACAGGCTGCTTTCCCCAAGGAATTAGCTTTTTCACTCCAGTATGACTGGGGTTGAAGACGTGAGGGTTCTGATACTCCTGGCATACACTGGATCTGAGCCGTGGGCTACTATTGACAGATGTACCATTGTGCACAATCGCCTGAAATAGCTAACATTTGAGATGTAGCTGGCACATGAACATACTGGCATCATCTGGGGATTACTTCAGGAGTGTCATTTCTTACTGTATAATAAATGCTGAAATGGGAGGCTGACTTTTATTTTATTTTATTAAACAAAAATTTACGCTCAGTTTTAGACCCTGTAGATCTAATGCTAGTTAGTTGGACTAGTATATAGGAATCTCTTTCCTTCAGTTCAGATGGGTTTGTGGATGTGTACGTGAGCATGAATATATGTGCTTCTGCCCTTCTGTAAACCTAGACTGACAAACAGAATAATCACTAGTAGTCCTATTCTTAGTTGTAGAATTATCATCCCACTTCATGCCTTCTTTCACATTAAAGACAAGACAGAATTAAGCAGCTGCCATGTTTAGGCTGGCTTGGTGGCAGCAAAGTAGCCAGAAGGTGTATCACCAATGACAGCTCTCAATGACTTCACACCACCACAGAAATGACTTCAATTTGTTTGTTTGTTTGTTTGAACTATTGTGCCTTTTAAACTAATATTTGGTGTAAATCATTCATGCAGATGGAAAGTAGACAGAGGTGGCACGAAATCTCCAGCTCTAACTCTTGGCTAATTTCAGAACAAAGGTCTTGAAATATATTAACACCTCCTTCCTCTTAATTACAGGATGGATTAGATCAGGCCTCACACTTGAGTAGAAACTATGTTATTTTTGTTCTGCAATTATTTCATTCCATACTTTTTGATTCAGATAAATGGATCTAAGTTAGATGCTGAATTAAATAAGTAAAAGGTGTGATGTATATATGGACTCCTTTTGCTGCCTTGTTGGATGCCACTAATGATGGTTTCCATGGTAACTAATGTAATTCATCAGGGGAAAATATGAAGACACAAAATAATTTTAAAAGGCAGGACTGTAAAATGCAAAGCGAATAAACAAACCTGGACATGGTTTGGTGCAAATTTTGTGGTGGATATGCTATTTTCATTGCTTATGAAAACAGATTTAAAATTAATGCAGAGGGATGCATTTTGTATCTTAGAAGGTGAGTAAATTGCAAAGAAGTGAGGTGGGAAAAGGCAAAACACCTAGAAGCTTTGGAGAACAATATGGAAGAAACGTATACAAGGAATAAACAAACCTGGACATGGTTCGGTGCAAATTTTGTGGTGGATATGCTATTTTCATTGCTTATGAAAACAGATTTAAAATTAATGCAGAGGGATGCATTTTGTATCTTAGAAGGTGAGTAAATTGCAAAGAAGTGAGGTGGGAAAAGGCAAAACACCTAGAAGCTTTGGAGAACAATATGGAAGAAACGTATACAAGTGTATTCATTACAATGCAGAATCAGAGAATTGCAATATTGGTAGAAAGCCAAATTCCACACTATCTACTAATGCAAACACTATTTATTTGTTTGTTTGTTTGTTTGTTTGTTTGTCTGTTTAAGTGGTTCTGAATTGCTCACCTGCCCACCAGGGCCATCAATGTGATAAGCAATTTGAAACAACGCAAAAATGTAATAAACTTATAACAGAACAAAAGAAATAAAATATCCCATAAAATGAGCCAGAACAATATTAAATCCACCACACACATAGCAAAATCATGCAGAAAGTATTGTCTGTTTGTGACTCAGTAGGAATTAATCCAAGCTGACCTCCACTGTGGGAGACGTCGAAAACTGCAGTGCGGCTATTTTTAGAAAGGCTCTGTTTTATGTATACCTTCACAGGCTGGGTCTTCTTCCAGGAGGCATAGTAGGGAACTCCCAACCTTTGGCTCCACAGCCAAATACCTAAACAACTGAGCTATCCAGTCAGTTCTTCCATACTCCCAGTGATATCCTATAAAGGGAAGAGGGTGGCCAGTGGGATTATGCTAGTATTTTAATTAGGGAAGAAGTGTGTTTTTTTAAGTTGGGGTACATGAAGATGATTTAACGATGATTTAAAAATAAAGAATCTGAAGAAGGGAGATAAAGTATCTTGAAGTTGGCCATATGGACAGTGAATATATGGACAGCAGATTCTGTCACCACATTGGTTAACTAGTCGCATTCTTCCCCGCTCAGATGAGATGTATTGTAATTCTATTCAAAGTATAACAATCATTTCTAATTTTGCCTCTAAATATCTAAATTAGCATGCACATTGTTATGCAAATCATTGCCTTCTTTTGTCTTTATTTTTGGGTGATCCCTGCCCGCCTTTTTTGATGACATGGGCGTGGCTACCCTGTGTCTTGGCCTGTTTGCCAATATGGTGTTGAGCTTGCTTACTGTGCCCTGATTACATTGTCCTCCTGCTGCTGCCTGTGTTTGAACGTCAGAAATCAAACACGGGCCTCTTGAAAGAGGATCAGAATAACCTTTATGGACTGCAACAGAATCCCCTGGCCAGAAAGGCCAGAGCATACACTAACTGGGGGATTCTGGAAGCTTTAGTACAAAAAGTATTTTTTCTAAGTTTCAAATAAAAAGTCAACGGGCTGGATGTATGAAACATTTTTTCCCTTTAAAACCTGTGTGATTCATGACAATGTGCTTATTGTGCCACTAATACATTGAGGGAAGCTATTGCTATCAGTTTCCCATTGCTAATCATAGGTAGAGTAGACCTATGGACTCAATGGATATTGTGTTAGTGTTGATTTACTATTCAGTGGAATTATTCTTTCATTGAGGCTAGCAGTAGGATACCGTCTATAGCTTACAATGCATCACAGTCCCTTTTGACTTCTATTTGTTCAGCAGCAAACAATGTGCAGGCACTTATGAGCCAGGCTGGCATCAGTTGGTAATTGTCATCAGATAATACATATACATAACATTAGATGTTTGGTTTCCCTTATTTTTGAGGGTTTCTATATCTCTATTTCTTCTTTCTTGTGCAGCTAGAATAGATACTACATTTCCAGTTAGCAACCTGGGATGATAAAGCTGCATTTACAAGAAGTAGATACTGGAAGGCTGCTGTTGTTGCTGTTGCTATCAAATCTTCCAGTGCCACCATCTGATGCCAGTTTGACAGCTTCTCTTGACACCTCTGAGATGCAGCTATGTAGGTTGTCATGCTGATAGCCATCAGCTGATGTGACCTAATTGTCTCAGATTCTATCATGATCCTGCATTTATTACCATTTTCTGTTATTTATCCATGCAGGTGCTTTCTCCATTTCTCCCAAAAACAAAAACAAATGAAAACAAGACAAATTTCCCTGGAGCCATGTTCACCTTTTTTTTTTTTAGGGGATATTTACTTTCTCAGTCTCTGATTTCTTTTTTAAAGGGGATATTTACTTTCTCAGTCTCTGATTCTTTACAGCTTAGCTGAAATAGCCAAGGTGAAATGATGTGATTGACAATATGCATCTGGTCTAAGGCTTGGACTGAGTGAACAGTAATTTGGATCGACTTGCAGTTTTCCAATCAAGCTTTGCGGAGAGAGAGTACCTGCCACTGGTGTTCTCAAAAGGCTATCTGGATTAAGAACCTCAGTGTTAAATTGCACTGCTGGGTAGTCAGGAAATGAGTCAAAAGATGCCAAAAAGTTCAAGTAACTTGTTCTAATTCTCAAAGGAGAGAAGTGTTCTGAGTTTTACTCATATGTGAAGACCTAAAGTCAAAACAGTTGCAACTACATTTTGTATAGTGTAAAATGTGAACCTCAAAACTGAGAATGCCTGGTGTTTAAGCAATGGAGGTGTCCATTAAAAGACATATTTAAGTTTTAAATGTCTCTTTGAGTGATGGAAAGTGCCTTGGGTGGGGTTAAAAATACTTTAAATAAATAAATTAGATGGAAGTCTGAACAGACAAATATTTTCTATTATGATTCTTTATGCATTCCTTCTCCCAGTATCATCAACAACAAAATCCTCTCAAAATTCTGCAGCAGAGTCTTTTCTGGTGAAAATAAAGCAAAGCTTGCGTAATTTTGGGCACAGTTTCATGCTTTATTAGGTATTATTCTTCTTGAAACTCTGGGTGTCAGGATGTGATGCACTTTAGGATGGAGCTCTTCAGGATCAAAACAAAATGTTTTGATCACATCGTGCAGAACACCTGACCCCACCAAGATGCACAGTATCCAAAAGGCATCGTGCAGAACAGCAAATGTTTCCACCAGACCCCACCAAGATGCACAGTATCCAAAAGTGGCTGTAATTTTAGCATCCTAGGGAGGGACAGAGCATAAACATACAGCAGTAATCAACAACAATTTGTTGCCCTTTTGTATCAGCCAAGAGCAATTTCCTGAGGTGACAGCCTCCCTCTGCCTAATGGTAGGATCAGCTTTCTTGACCGAATGCCATCCTAGTGTCTCTACTGGGAAGCAATGTACTGATTTGCCATTCTCACCATTCTTTTCATATATGCATCTGTGTCCTGTGTGCAAGATCTTCTCCAAGATGTATAGCAGAACCTGTGGCGTGCAGCCGAATGTGGCTGGGCTTCGTGCCAATGGACCACTAGCTTGCAACGCTGTAATCCTCCATCCTCAGAACAGTTCTGAAAGGACAATTCCAGGCAGTTATTGCTGACAAATAAAGTGATGAAAGTTGGTTGCGAAGGGTTGGTTTCCAAAAATAAAAATGTAAACACAAATAAAAAACTGGCAAGGCCACTGAGGCATAAGGTGGAAAGGACTGGCAGCTGTTCCAGCAATGGAACAAATTGCTAGTAAGTATGAATGCCAGCTGAATTGTAAACTTGAGTTTGTTCTTCAGGAGGAATAAATGCTTGGTTCCTGTGGGTTTACTGCTGCCTGTTTGTACACATTAGCAACTGTCATACAATAACTTCTCAGTGGAATATTTCCTTGATATATTTGAATTGGTCTGTCTAGGGATTTAATATGGCTGGATAGCTCAGGGAGTTAAGCATCTGGCTGCGGAGTCAGAGGTTAGGAGTTCAATTCCCCAGTGTGCATCCCAGAACAGCCAGCCTGTGTAACCTTGAACAAGTTGCACAGTCTGAGTGCACTCCCAGAAGAAGGGAATGGAAAACCTCTTCTGAGTACAGTGGTGCTACGCTTAACAATTGCCTCACTTAACGAGGAAATCGCTGTACGATTAGGTTTTTGCAATCGCTTTTGCAATCGCAAAACTATGATTTAAATGGGGTTTTTCCGCTTTGCTATGATCGGTTCCCTGCTTCGGGAACCGATTTTCACTTTACGACGATCAGCAAACAGCTGATTGTCGGGTTTCAAAATGGCCGCCGGCTGAAGAAAATGGCCCCCCGTTGTTTTCTAGGACAGATTCCTCACTTTATAGGCACCGAAAATGGCTACCGTATGGAGGATCTTCGCTGGATGAGCAGGTATCCAGCCCATTGGAAGGCATTGAATGGTTTTCAATGTGTTTCAATGGGTTTTTTAATTTTGTTTGACGTTTTCGCTCTACAGCAATTTCGCTGGAACAAATTAATGCCGTCAAGCGAGGCACCACTGTACTTTATATCTTCAGTACTATGGAAAGAGGCATCATATATCAGAATTGACTTGACAGCACACTATTA